CTCACTACCAGAAGGATTTCAGACAAAGCTGCTTGCGACTAAGAGGGGAGACCCACCGACTTCTCGAGCATCGTTAAATGTCGTTAGTAGACCATGTGCTCATAGTTGTGAAGCAAGGGAGAGTGCACTAGTTAATGTGTTGGTCTTCATCAATGATGTTTTTGGATACCACATCGGTGACCTACACTTCACCGAATTGAAAATACGAGAAAGTCAACTTCATTAGGTAGTAGTGGTGACATACTATGTTTGCATGAACTTTGGGGAGTACTTGGACATGTAGTATGTAATGACTTGGTTTAAATTTATTATGGTTTGTATGAAATTCGATTGTGGGATGGATGATCATTGTAATATATATACAACATCTTACTTAATTAGTTTCACTCTTAACATGCGCGTACAATATTCAATGCAAAGAAACTATAAAAGAAAAAAAAAGAGACATTCAGTCCCGGTTGGTTATACCAACCGGGATTGGAGGTGTAATACGTGGCCTGGGCTGGAGCTACCTTTACTCCCGGTTGGTTACCAACCGGGACTAGAACTCCCAAATCAATCTCGGCTGAGGGGACCGGGATTAAAGCCGGGCCTGGACTAGAGGGGTTTCCCAACCGGGACTTAAACCCACTCCTGCACTAGTGTATACACTAAAAAATGCGACCGGGGAACAGCCCCACTCGTTTTTCATTAAGAGTAAAGGCACAGCTTCCGACGGCAGAAAAACCCCAGAACCCTAGCATCACCAGCGAGAAGATTTTTACTGTGCAGCACCCAGGATTTGAGCACCGGGTGGGTAGCTCCTCTGCTGGAAGTCCTACCACTGAGCTACAAGCTCATTTGCCGGGCCCATGTACACTAAAAATATTATTATATTAATGCTGACATCAAAAATAATGTTTTAAGTGAAAAAAATTCTAAAAATGTTATTTCAATAATATTTTAAATTCCTCAAACTTCAAAAAGTTGTCTACTTCTATGACTAGTAGCGTGCCCGTGCTAACGCTACGGTAAAAACAAAGGCCAACATGTTTCTTGAAAATGAAGTAAATAGTGGGTTATTCTAACTCAAAATTCAAATCCATTGGAGAAACAGTAGCACAGAAACCATACATAGATGTTGCAAAACTGCATAGGTTACATGCTTATCTCTGTGTATGAATATGATGACTCTCCGCGTTAACAAGAAATAAGTTACTCTACTTTCAACCATTACACGCCGAGATTACAAACTATCAGGGTGTTCGGCTGATCAGTTTGTGGCTGATTTCGGCTGATTTCGGCTGATTCAATAGTGTTCTGTGAGAGAGATTAAGCTGAAACAAGCTGGCAATGGATCAGCCGAATAAGCTGATGGTACCATAGGCGTGCATAAAAGAAGAGGACAGATGAGAGCTTAGTGCCTCTTGCGAGAAAAGTGGTGGTCGTTTGGATTTCTTTTCCCACTGAACATTGCGAGTGCCTTCCTCACTGGAGGTTTCAGTAGTGCCTTCTTATCACCACTGTGCAAAAATATATGTCGACACCCAAGAAATCATCCTCCTATAGTGAAACAGATTGTCAGATTTGTTCCAAGACGAACCTCAGCAAGCATGGCACTTCAAAACCCACCTGTAACAGAAGCATAAAAATACATGTGTTAGTGGGCAATAAAAAAACACAACATTGGTTTGGATAGCACTATTGTACCCAAACAGGTCTGAAGATGTTAACTCACATATATATGCATGTGGCGTATCTGCATGCAACCTGGTGCTATGAGACGGAGGCCAGTCTGCAGGAAATGGCTTATTTGATCCAAGCAGACTCTCGTATGCTGCATTCCAACTGCATATATAAATATAGATTTTTTAGCACAATTACATAAATCTCCACAATCAATAAGATAGCATTCCTTAAAGCTTCTTGGGTTGCACAAACAAAATACACCATCAGAAGCAAACAAATGTTCAAGAGGAAAAATATTTTTAGGAGTGTATTGTTTGATTGTTTAAAATTTATTTATGCAAGACCACTCTCAGTGGTATGGGTAGGTGTCACTATTGTCACTTTGTCAGGTTGAGTTTTATCGTTTGAGAAATCACCCTCTTATAGAGCTTACAGAAATCATAATTTCAGGTAAGTGAGTCCGTTTGAATTTTAGTACACTATCAGAGACTCATTAGCATGCACTGAAGTTAAACAAGATCCAACATCCCAGAGGAAAGGATCACAAACTGTGTATACACTCATCGTTGAACCTGAGCTGAAGCGCCCCCAAGTTCAATTATTCCAACAAGTTGAAAGTATTTGAAAAGGGCACTTTTACACACCATACCCCCAACGAATTTTTATGCTTTGTTTTGATTCTAGTTTTTGATCTGTTACTCAACCAACAGAAATGTCATCTAGGAATCCTCCAAAGCTGCATGTACAAATCCATCACTCACATGTATTGCAGATTTGCAACAACAAACCAGCAGCAATTGGCGCTCTCTTTACATACACACCTGAAATCAATTAGCATTTCCAATTCATTGCATTATTGATCATGTCATTTAAACACCCAATCCCGTATCCACAATGCTCACCCACTGAGCATCAGAGCTAAAGTACAATCAATTCCCCAGGTGGCAGAAAACGGCAAGAGGAATGCAGTACCTGGGATCACCTTGGCCCATGCGTCCTCGAACCGGAACCCAGAGGCTCATAGTACGTCCCTGCAGGACGCTAAGAGTGCCCGATCAGAACCTGCAGCCCGAAGAATGCGCAGAGGGAGTATGCAATGGTTGCTGGTCCCTGCAACAGTTATTGAAGATTTGAAGATCAGGTGATGAAAACAAATATGTGCTAGAAATTTGATGGATGGTATAATCCAGTTTGTTTACAACTCACCCGGATTGAATTGAAGTACAACAATGTTGCAAGGTTCACCAAACTACCTGCAACAACTCCCTTGGTGATAAAGAGCAAGATTTAAGACACATTATGATGATATTGAACTTCAGAAAAAAAAGGTTTCGTATCAAAGAAAGAAAACAATTTTATGATATAAGGGCTGTTTCACTTGATCAGATTTCTCGCATTGAAATTGCAGTCGCCCACTGTCAATTTTGTTTTAACATTTAGGAGTAGATTCCAGTGCAGGCTAACTGAATTTGCCTGGGCTCAGCGTCATCCAGCGGACAAGTTTGCTCTTGTCTTTTCTGGTTCAGCATGAAGGAACATAGAAAAAGTTCAATAATACTACTCCATCCCAAATTGTAAGACGTTTGACTTTTTTGTCTCAAGTTTGACCACTCGTCTTATTCAAAAAATTTGTGCAAATATAGTCAAATTTAAGTCATTCTTGAAGAATTTTTATTAATAAACCAAACTACGACGAAAGAAGTGATATTTTACACAAATTTTTGAATAAGACGAGTGGTCAAACTTGGTGTCAAAAAAGTCAAACGTCTTACAATTTGGGATGGATTGAGTACATTAATAATTCTAAACATATATCCAATTGTTTTCTGGTTAAATAATACATTAATAATTCTGAACTCACATATGCTAGTAATGCAGGAAGTACTCATGGCTTAGCAATGTTTTAAATAGCGGGCTAAGGTGTTTAGCGGTATATCTCTAAAACAGCTAATAGCGGAGCTATATCGGGCTATAGCGGAATATAGCGGCTAAATTGTACATGAACTCAAATAGCGGCACCCTGCCTCAAAAGGCTATAGCGGGCTATAGCGACGGCTATAGCAGGAGATTTTAAACTATGCTCAGCAATCTCTGTAATATCAAACCTAGGATCAAGGCCTTCCCAATACCATCTAGAACTGCATAAAACGGAGAAAGCACGAGTAGAATGACAGTATAATAACAATTTCCTTGTAAACATGTAAACTATTAGACATTGAAACCTGAGAATGCTCTGACCACAAATGTAAATGTGGTAGGGAAGCGAAATGGTTGGTCAGCAGCAGTCGCCAAAAGATCCTCTCCAGCAAAATTTAATTCGAGCCAACAGAAATAACACCATTCTGCAAGTACACAAATGCGCTAGTGTATGTGAAATGAGATGCAATGAAATTGCAATCACGTAATTGCCGGACCAGGACGCACCTCTAATTTCAAATCCCTAAGACGTTCACCTGGACGCACCGACGCAGGACCAGGACGAGGACAGACGGTTTGCCGCATCCTGGATGGTGCTGCCGGCGGTCTGGGGGCAGCGGGGTCGTCGCCGTCGGCCGCCGCCAGGGGTGGCGAACGGCGCAGGGCGGGGCGGCAGGAGCAGCCGTGTAGGAGGCACATCGATCAGGCTGCGCTGCAGAAGCCGAGCAGCAGCGGGAGGCGCCGAAAGTGACAGCCGTGCTGCCGCGCTGGAAGGGCGGCCACCAGCCAGGGAGGTGGGCGCGGGCGGTGAACGGTCCTCTCACGGTCACGGGAGGACGCCGCGGGATTTGGGGGAGCCAGGGAGGGGATCTGGGGAGACCTGGCTGGCGAGCTCAACGGGGACGGGCCGTCGCGGAGGCATCCAGATTGTTGGGAATCCTCGCACTCCACCTCCAACGCCTCCGATGCCTGGGAATCCTCGAGGCCTGCCCCAACACCTCCACCCCAGCCTCTGCCTCCGCCTGATTGTTTCTGTTTTTTGATGATTCATTTTTGGAAACGGGAAATCAGAAGGAGAGGGCGTGCGGGGGCGGAGCCATTGCATGCGGGCATGCGCGGGCGGGCGAGGGCGCGGGCTGGGCTGGGGAGCGTTGAAGCCTCCGTGATGAGTCTCAAATTTTCAATTATAGTAGAAAATATGTTCCTCCTTTTTTTTTATCAGCCCGCTATCGGAGTCGGACTCCGCCTGCAGGCTGCAGCCCATCCGGAATCGCGGAGCCCTCCTCCGGTGCCTCGCTATATACAAGCACGCACACCGCCATCAGCAGCGGCCCACCAAAACCAAACCACCCCAGTAATCACGTCGTCCAGTGTCAGCAGCGTCAACGAACCGATCGATCAGGTATTCAGGCGCCATGTCGTCGTCGCGGTGCGTCGCCGCGGTCGACGCTGCCGCCTCCGCCCGAGCCCCGGAAACAACGTCGTCAGCGCCGCCGTCAGCGCCGCCGATGCCGCGACGGTACCAGGCGGGCGAGTTCGTCGTCGACCTCGAGCTCGGGCACCGGCATCCGGCCGCCTCCACCGCGCTGCCGACGTCGTCAGGAGTGCACGAGGAGGGCGGGTTCACGGACGGCAAGTTGGGACTGGGACAGAAACTGGAGCGCCGCACCTCCACCGTAGAACAGCAGCCGCCGCCGCCGAAGAGACCGTCTGATAATCTGGCGGATAGCGGTGGCAACGGCGACTGCCTCGCTATACGGAGCCGCTGTGAAGCGATTGTAGCGATGTCATCGTCGTCATCGTCTTGGGGGTGATTGGCTTGAGACTCGTGATTCTAGTGGCATTGGCACGAGGCTCCTAGAACGTACTCTCTCGTTCTACACATCTCGTTTCTCGAAAAAATAAAAAAAATTAAGTTTGATCAATTATATATATAAAAATAATCATATTTGTAATGTGTAACGAGTATCTCTATATTGATATTGGAACATATTTTTGTAATAAACTTATTTGAAATTTTTTTTTATCAAAGTTATATCACTAGATTGATATAAATATTAATATTATTTTTTATAGACTTGATCAAAGTTAAAAAAAAATGTTTGACTTCTCGGGAATAAATATGAAACTAATGGAAACATATGTATAAGAGCAGGGCTCTTAAAATGGAATGTAAAGTGAAGATTTTTTTTCCTACTAAAACGAAGCTCCTATACATGCACCAACACAAACTACTACAAACGTCAATGTAAAGATTTAGGTGCTATTGCGTTCTTGCCCCTATTTTGAACCACAATTGTGATTTTACCTCTATTTTCTTCTACTTTATGTTTTTACCTCTGCTTTTTCAAAACAAAGGTTCAATTTACCCCTACTCCGTGAACAGCAGGTAACGGTGTTAAAAAAGTTGAAACATGACAAGTTTGTCCTTCCGAATATTGCGTTTTTCCCCTATTTCAAACCCCAATTGTGATTTTACCCTCACTTTCTTTGACTTTGTGTTTTTACCCCTACTTTTTCAAAACGATGGCTCCGTTTACTCCAATTCTTAACTCAGTTATCTACATCCGGATCAAAGCAATTAAAAATTAACAAAAGCCCTGTGAAAAGATAAACTTACCCCTTATCTCTCGATCGTCTCTCTCAAGGTCGTCCCTCTCAACGCTAGCAGTAATGGCCAATTTGGAGTCGGTGGGCGGTGAGAAGGGCGCATCGGAAGCCGTCGTGGTAGCAGCAAATGGCTTTTTGGCGTCGACGCGCGGTAGCGAGCCTGCACGCGGCTGCTTGCGTGGCGCAGCAGCCAGCAGAGAGGAGGCTCTGCTTGGCTGGGTGCTGCATGCAACAACGGGCGTCGCGAGTGCCGCGTGCGCCGCGCCAAGCGAGCAAGCAGCGTGCACAGGCTGCAGCGCCCACGTCAGCTAAGCAGCGTGCTGCGTGCGTGCGCCTCCTCCGTCTGTCACGCGCCGCTTCATGCCGCTTGCTGCGCTTGCCCGACGGACGACAGCGCCATTCCGCCGACCGAGCCGCCAACACCGCCCGCTAGCGCTGAGAGGGACGATCGAGAGATAAAAGGTAAGTTTGTCTTTTCACAGGGCTTTTTGTTAATTTTTAATTGCTTTGATCCAGATATAAATAACTGAGTTAAGAATTGGGGTAAACAGAGCCTTCGTTTTGAAAAAATAGGGGTAAAAACACAAAGTGAAAGAAAGTGGGAGTAAAATCACAATTGGGGTTTGAAATAGGGGCAAAAACGCAATATTTGGAACGGCAAACTTGTCATCTTTTAACTTTTTTAACACAGTTACCTGCTGTTCACGGAGTAGGGGTAAACTGAACCTTCGTTTCGGAAAAGCAGGGGTAAAACCACAAAGTGGAATAAAATGGGGGTAAAATCACAATTGTGGTTCAAAATAGGGGCAAGAACGCAATAGCCTTCAGTTTACCCCTACTCCGTGAACAGCAGGTAACGGTGTTAAAAAAGTTAAAAGATGACAAGTTTGCCCTTCCGAATATTGCGTTTTTGCCCCTATTTCAAACCTCTATTGTGATTTTACCCCCCATTTTCTTCGACTTTGTGTTTTTACCCCTTCTTTTTCAAAACGATGGCTCCGTTTACCCAAATTCTTAACTCAGTTATCTACATTCGGATCAAAGAAATTAAAAATTAACAAAAGCCCTGTGAAAAGACAAACTTACCCTTTATCTCTCGGTCGTCTCTATCAGGGTCGTCCCTCTCAACGCTGGGTACGGCGGCGGTGGCGACGGAAGGGCAGCGTCAGGCCGTCAGGTGGGCGCAATGAGCAGCAGCGCTTGACGCGAGAGAAGGAAGACGGGCGCCAGCGCGGCTTTACTGGCTCGACGTGGTATGCGCAGACCCAGCACGCTGCGGCTCGGCTTATGGGCGCTGGCGCAGCGCAACCAGCACGCTGTGACTCTGCGTGCGTGTAGTGGCTGCAGCAACTTGCCCGGCGTCGTGAGTGCCCGCGCCAAGCGAGTCAGCGTGCTGGCTGGCGCCCCGTCGAGCTAAGCAGCAGCGCCGTGCCGCTTCCTCTCCGCTCGTCAAGACGTGCCCTTCGGCCGCGCTACCGCCCGGACGGCCCGACGCGCCCTTCCGCCGCCACCATTGCCAAGACCGCCCGCTTACCATTGCGCTAAGGCCGAGAGGGACGACCGAAAGATAAGGGGTAAGTTTGTCTTTTCACAGGGATTTTATTAATTTTTAATTGCTTTGATTCAGATGTAGATAACTTAGTTAAGAATTATGGTAAACAGAGCCTTCGTTTTAGAAAAGTAGGGATAAAAACACAAAGTGAAAGAAAGTAGGGGTAAAATCACAATAGGGGTTTGAAATAGGGGCAAAAACGCAATATTCGGAAGGGCAAACTTGTCATCTTTCAACTTTTTTAACACCGTTACCTGATGTTTACGGGGTAGGGGTAAACTGAACATTCGTTTTGGAAAAACAGGGTTAAAAACACAAAGCGGAAGAAAATAGGGGTAAAATCATAATTGGGGTTCAAAATAGGAACAATAAAGCAATAACGCCAAAGATTTATCCAATAGACCAATAGTTCTTGGCATTGATCACAAAGTCATTAGAAGTGGCGCGTATCGCCGTGCAGGTGATCTACTATTAAGAATAATCAATCCTAGATGCGAGCATTATTCGTACTGAGTTCAAACTCGAACATGTTCCAACAAAAAAAAAATCTAGCCAAAACTGCACTTGGTTTGCTAGATGTTGTTGTCCTATATATTGTGAGCATAGTGGAGCGGTGACAATCAAAACACTGGTTAAAAAAACTTATCTCAGGCCCATTTCATATTTTCACCTCTTTGGCTATTAGTTATTGCTCTGCTTTTTGGAGAGAAAGGAGATGCCACATGTCACAATAAAAAAATGCCAATCAACCTATAACGGGATGATGGATGATGGTCCTATACTATCCTTTTTCGGTATAATGATCTCAAGAAGTTAAGAGAAAGAATAAATATTTTTTACTTCTCTTGATGGAAATATTTTGTTGAGCAATCTGCAATTCCTAGCTATTTCGATAATTTGTAAGAACACATTGAACGTTTTGAATCTGAACTACAATTGTTGACTTTTCTCAAAAGTTGCAACGTATATTAATGTTCATCTTATTTGTTGCGTTAACCATCATTGTTCAAAATGTACTTCATAATAGAAACTAAGCAAAGCGTGGATGGGTAGCTGAGGTGTACCCCTAAACCAATTAGAGGCTAGTTTTTTTTCGTATACTAATATAAGATCTGATTGTACGATTTTTCAAATTTGTTTATGTACGTGCAATGTATTTATGCGGGCCAGGCGAATGTTGTGTGTGAGCAACCGCGAATATATTTTGTTTTCTAATTTTCAAACTAAGACCCAAAATTGTCAAAAATAAAGATGAAGCCTCAAACATTTCATGAAATGGGTATTTTGATGAAAAGAGGACCAACAAAAAGAAATATAATATGAGGAAACATCCATCTCAATTTTTATTGCCCAACCTTCTTAGCCAGCGCCCATCTAGTTATGGCCCCAAGCATTTCTAGCCCAACTAAAGGCCACGCGATAATTACTAGGTGAAAAGCCATACAAGTATAGCAGGCTAGCAGCCCAAAAAACGAGTCACTAGTAGTTTTCAACAATACGGGCCGATAATATAGAGGAAATTATTTCCTTCCCTTAAAAAAGAGTGTTGCTTAGTTTTTTGGTATTTTTTTCTCGAACTTACTTATTAGCCTCTAGAATGAATTTCCTTTAGTTTCTTGGCCCGTTAATTTGATGGGCTAACTGTGTTAAACTATGCGCGAAATAACTCTTTTACCCACGTCGCCCGCTTGCTCTGCTCGCGGGACGGAACCCGTCCTCGTCCGCGCCGCCCCGCTCGTGCCCACGCCGCTCACGGCGAGCCCGATGCGTTAGCCGCTCGCTAGCTCGCTCTCGGACTCGCGCTTCTCGTCGCAACCGTGCTCCATCCTTCTGCCTCTGCCCTGCCGAGGTCCGTGCTGCCGACGAGCTCCACACCGGCGACCTTCGTGCCACTCCGCGGCTTCGAGCTCCGTGCCGGTGTCGAGCTCCGTGTCGACGAGCCTCCATTCGTCCAAATGGCAAGCAAATGCCACGCTGAAAGCGCATGTTGCAATAGTATGTTTCAAGTGTTTTAGATGTTTCCGATGTATGTTTCAAGTATTATATATCGCCGTTGCAAAAATAGATGGGGATATTGCACATGTTGTAATGGCTATACATGTACGTTTCAAATGTATGTTTCAAATGTTTCATCTGTGTTTAGACGAATGTTACAAGTGTTTTGTTTGGATGTTGCAAAAGTAGAACTAAATATTGCATATACATGCATGTTGTAAGCATATGTTTTCAATGTTTTCAGGTGTTTCATACGTATGTTTGCAATTGCTTCATCTGGATGTTGCATATGTTTGTAATGGTTTTCAAATGTTTCTCAGCCGTTTTCGTAAGTGTTTCAAAAACTTGTTTCAAGTGTTTCATACTACTGGACAAACCCCCATTTAACGACGGATACCCATGAACGTTTAATTTATGTGTTGCCTTGTTATCCGTATCTCGTGTCCAGCCGTAGCGGCTTCTGGCCCTTCGCTCACCGTGTGCTATAGGTCCGTGTTTTTTTTAAATTTTCCCCGTATTTTTCAATTCTCAAGTGTTTTTTCAGCCGCGTGCTCAATTATTTCCCTCCACGAGCTACTGACGTAATAATTAATATTAATAATAATAAAAAAACTGGTTTCAACAAGCTTCGAACGGCAGACCATACATGGCTCCTAT